GAACTAGTGGAACACACACACATGAGCAGAAGAGGAAGTAAGTGAGAACCGGAACATCAACACATGCTTGAACTTGACAAAGTGAAGATTGAACTAGTGGAACACATTCACATGAGTAGGAGAGCAACTAATTGAGAACCGGAACGTCAACACATGCTCGAACTTGACAATGTGAAGATTGAACTAGTGAAACACATTCGTATGAGTAGAAGAGCAACTAAGTGAGAACCGAAACATCAACACATGCTTGAACTTGACAAAGTGAAGAGTGAACTTGTTGAACACATTCACATGAGTAGGAGAGCAACTAAGTGAGAAGTGGAACAACAACATACGCTTGAACTTGACAAAGTGAAGCTTGAACTAGTGGAACATATTCATATGAGTAAAAGAGCAACTAAGTGAGAACCAGAACATCAACACATGCTTGAACTTGACAAAGTGAAGATTGAACTAGTAGAACACATTCACATGAGTAGGAGAGCAACTAAGTGAGAAACGTGACATCAACACGTGCCTGAACTTGACGAAGTGAAGATTGAACTTGTAGAACACATTCACATGAGTAGGAGAGCAACTAAGTGAGAACCGGAACACCAACACATGCTCGAACTTGACAAAGTGAAGATTGAACTTGTAAAACACACGCCCATGAGTGGAAGAGCAACCAAGTATGAATTGGAATGTCATCATGTGAGAGTTGAGCCATGCATGTGAGTGAGACTTGCTCAAACACTTTGCAATCAGACTCATTCTCAAACACACTTTTCATGCATGTAAACGACAACGCAGCATACTGGCGACATGCGCCCACTCAAAACTCAGAGATATGGCTTTCAGATACGAGTTCACTCTCAATTGGCTATGGCGGCTTCAGCGTCTAAACATCTCACTGTTCACATACACTGGATCACCTTGGATATCCCACACGCCTCACTCTAGCACTCGAACACACACACACATTCACTACTAACTACAGCTATGGCAGCTATCGCTGCATCTAACCTATCGCTATGCTAACTCCCTCTCTCTTGCCCACTGCGTCCTCCGGGCTCATCTGCAGACCTTTCACAAGTCGCTGTGGCATTGCTTCCGCATGACTCACGCAGGAATGAATGAATGGCTGGGCGCTGCCTCTTGATTTATACTTCAGAAACTAGCTGGTTTGCCCTTTGCCATCGACCCTTGGTGCTCATAGTCCCCCTGTGGTACTTGCTGGACCGGACTGGGACTGACCTTCCGCTGACTGACTGTGGACTCACCGCTATCCTACCGACGTTGTACGCCCACCACTCGCCTCACCACTTGACCACTTGCCCACTTGCCTACCTTCTAGAAAGTCTACAGCTAAGCTTCCGGAACTCACTAAGACTTCTACGCTATAGACCTACAGATCCACCCCTGCTGCCTATGGACCTACGACAGACCTACCAACCGTCTGCGAATACACAGGTCACAGGTTCAATTCTCGGGATCTATACAGATACTGTACACCGTTTCACTCCCGCCGTCCTAAATCCGAGGTCCTCCGAGAACATTTCAGTCCAAGGCGGGACCTTTACCTTTCTTGTCACGTTCATAGGCTCTGACTATGCCGGGAGCGGTTTCTAGGAGTTATGTGTTCGTGAACCGGCGGTCGTCTTCCGGTTCCTGATAAGCAAAACGGACCTTATATTGTTTTTGGGGACGACCTCTACCTCCTGTTCTGAACACATCCTCATCTACAATGCCTTCAATGTCATAACTTCCATCCATATCTGGGGGGATCATGGATCTTCTCGAAGGGAACTGTTGACTTGTGACACACTACAACAGCTTTGACGCATGAAACACAGGGTATGTGTGGAGGTGTGCTGGAATCTCAATGCTATAGGACGGTCCATCCTCTCCGCCCTTGACTTCTAGAACCGGCCACGGTCCTCTATATGCGGGCAGTAACTTCTGCGAGATGTTTTCCTCAGGTGCAAACTCTTTAGCCTTGACCCAGACTAAGTCGCCTACCTGAAACTGCGACGGGCGGCGGTGCTTATTAGCTTCCTGAGGTTTTCAACAATAGTGGCTAGTTCTTTCTCGTGCTGTATTGCAAACTCCCTGGTACCGGGCGGTAATCTGTGAATCCGATCCCGGTTCAGTCCTTCGAACTGTTGTTGTATGCACTAGCTACCTTAGGCAACATCTCATCCCAGTTAACCTGATCTGGTTTAATGTACATGCGCATAACTTGTTGTAGGATCTTGTTCGTCTGTTCTGTCTGACCGTTAGTCTCTGGGTGACGGCCAGATGACACTAGCAGCTTAGATCCGTAAACTCTCATGAGTTCTTGCCAGTTCTGGCTGGTGAAACGACTATCTCTATCACTAACTATTGACAATGGGATTCCATTCTCACTAACCCAAAAGTCAAAAAACTTTTGTATAACTAAGTCCTTACGTGCCTCTGCAAGCAAAGGAACGAAAACTGCATATTTGCTAAAGCGGTCAACTACGACCATGACTTGGCTCTTACCATGTCTACTCTTGACTTGGGTGTCCATGAAGTCTATGGACACGGAGTCTCCCGGCTGATCCAGAATAGGCAAGGGTCTGAGAAGACCTAGGGGCGCGCGTGTAGTAGACTTATTCCTCTGGCACACTTTACAACTGCGGACATACCCTATGCAGTCATTCTTCATCCCTGGCCAGGTATTCGCACGCATCAGGTTGGCTAATGTCTTTTGCCAACCGAAATGCCCTTCAGTATCGTGGCATTCCCCTAAAATCAAATTGTGGATCACTTCGCTGTTGGGAACGCACAGGCGGTCAAACACATTAGTCTTCTCAAATAGCAACCCGTCTGTAGTGCGGTAATCTGGTTCAGTCTCTGGGGCCTCTCTAACTCTCTTTAAGAGGTCGCTATAGATAGGGTCCTGCGCATATGCTTGCCTCACTTTCTCCTGCAGGTCTCTCCCTATATCCAAATAGTGTACTACGGCTCCAAAGTAGTCTGATCTCCTACTCAGAGCATCCGCAACTACGTTGTATTTGCCCTTTACTGGCTTGATCTCAAAGTCGAATTGGTCTATCTCTGCGGCCCACCTAGTCGACTTAGGTGTCATCTTGGCCTGTGTCTTTAACCAACGAAGTGTCTCGTGGTCAAAATACACTTTGAAGTGCCTCCCAAGCAGATAGTGCTTCCAATGGTCTAAAGCCTGCCTGAGAGCGTAGAGTTCTCTCTCGTACGTGGAGGTAGCRACCTTCTCACAGGGCATCCTCGCTGACATGAACTCTACGGGTCTATAGCCATTGTCGTCGTCTTGCTGCAACACGGCGCCTATCCCATACTCACTTGCGTCCGTGGTAACGAGAAATCGCAAGGACGGATCTGCTACTTTGAGGACGGGATATTCGATAACGCGCGCTTTAACTTCTTGAGCGCAGACATACAGTCTTTGTCCCATTGCCAGATTGCCTCTTTCTTTAGCAGTCTGCTCAAGGGGGCGGCGATAATGGAGAAGTTCCTCACGAACTTCCTATAGTAGTTAGCTAAGCCTAGGAGCGACCGGAACTCTGTCATTGTGCGGGGCGTTGGCCAGTCTCTAATCGACGCTATCTTGCTGTCCTCTGGCTTAATGCCATCTCCGTCCAACACGTGGCCCAAGTACAAAACTTGTGTCTTGGCCCACTCACACTTCTTTGCGTTGATCTTGAAGTAAGCCTCTCGTAGCTTCTCCAAGACCTGCCTCAGATGACCCTGGTGCTCCTGGAGGGTCTTACTAAAAACTAGGATATCATCTAGATAGACTACTACAAACTTATCTAACCACAACCTAAACATGTCATTCATACAACGCTGAAAGGTAGCTGGCGTGTTGGTTAGTTCAAAGGGCATCACTATGAACTCATAGTGCCCGTATCTAGTCCGGAACGCAGTCTTGTACTGGTCATCAGGATGGACTTCTATCTGATGGTATCCGGACTTCAAGTCTATTTTAGAGAAATACTTCCCTTGCTATCCGAAATTCATAGGACGGACCCTTGTCATTCCAGCACTCATGCTCTATCGTGTGGATTCTGACCGGGGGAATTAGTTTCGCGTCTAACCACCCCTTTTGGTGATCACTAAAGGCAAATGTCAGATGAAACTCCTGTCACGTCCTTTTGATCAGGAGGGTTTCTTCTTCCGTTAAGAATCCCTCTATTCCTATCTTCATTGTATCAGCTACCTCATCTGGTATCCGATGCCCTTCCGTTGCTCGCCTTTCTCGGATCACTTAGAGAACTTCTTCCTCCTTTCCATGACCTCTTCCTTGGAGGTCTCTAGCAGAATGGAGACTGGCTTAGCTTTCTTCCCTACTGGCTTGTACTTTCGAACACTTCCTTCAGGGATCTTTCTCCTAAAAAATTAACGGTCGGGGCTACTCCAGTTGCCTCCGCGACCCGTGGTTGAATACTGACTATTTTCCCATTCAGACAATACCCCTTTTGTACTTCCCCTTCAAACTTGGCCAACGCCGTCGGATTCACCCCTACTTTGTGATACCTGATAGCTTTGATGAGTTGCAATACGTCGGGGATCTCGAGTGCGATTTCCGGTACCTCCTTCCGCACTTCTTTCCGTCTTGGCAGGCTGGCTCCGAGTTCGACTTCTGATTCCCTTTCTGCCACCATAACACCTAAGACTTCGTCCTCCTGTCTTCTCTTCTTCTGGGGCAGGCCCATCTTGATCCATTCTTTCTTACTGAATGCCTCCTCAATCATAATTTCTACCCTTTCTCTCATACCCTTCATTCGCGCAAAAGCCCCTTTCCGTGCGCTATCTTCGAACGATGGCGACCACGTTGCTAACTTCCCCTTCAGAGGGTCTCCTCCCGTCCCAAGGAGTCGGAGAAGCTCCCGCGGCTGGTCACTGGGTCCTCTATGTCTACCATGTACGTGCCATCGTGCAGGTGCATGCCTATCATTTCTACGTTGGCGCACCATAGTCTCCCGATGATTATGTCGTGGTCCATTTCCTCCATTACGGTCATCCGTTGAAACGACCAAATCGACTCCCTGATTCCTGCCTTGACCGCACATTTCATGACATACCCAGCGAACGGAATTTCCCCACCGGCTCCCCGGATGCTCCCTGTTACTTCCTTATTTACTGTAGAACCCGTGATTGTTGCGGTCTCTTCTTATGAGAGTGATTTCCGCTCCCCCATCTACTAATGCGTTGGTATGATGAGTCCCGATCTGGATTTTCAACTTTCCTACGGGTAGTGCATGGAAGCTAAGCTTCGTTCCGGTGGTGCCCTCATGACCTCGCCACCTTCTCGGTCTGGCAAACTCAGGTTTTTCTAAATCCTCCAAATCCCCGTGACTCCTTTGAAGGTTAACGACTTCTTGCGGAGCTTCCTCCTCCCTTTCCTCTTTTCTGGTGATTCGGGGTTTTCGTTTATCTCTATTCGCCGCCGAGTCAACAGTTGTCTAAGCCCTTTGAGCAACCTAGGGCTGGCGACACCATGGTTCCTAGTAATTTGCTAAGGGTGTCATCGATCTCGGGCATGGTTAAAATCGGGATTTGAGACCTAAACTTTTTCTTAGCAGCGGTGACCTTGTCTGTAGGCTCCTCCTCTTCCCCTTGGCTTCCCATAAACCTTCTCTGGTTCCTTGGCCTCGGGCTCTGCCTGGAGCGCGGAGCCTCCAGCAACCTCCTCCATCACGGTGTCACGGATAATCCTTCTCCCAGTCGTCCCTAGCCGAGTAGTCGCGTTCACCCTATCACGTCCGTCACTTTCCAAAATGAAGTTGACCTGCGGCCCGCGGCCCCGAAGTTGGTCCCAGATGATATCGGCCACCGGCTTAGCTTCTACTGCTGCTATTTCTAACCCATTAAGCATGATAATGGCGCGCCGGATTCCCCCTGGCGAGTTCCAATTCACCCATTCTCCCTGTGGTCGGAATATCTCTCCCTTTAGTGATCTAGTACATCTCCTTTTTAATATATTGTGGTTGAGCTTTGGACATGCGCGCACAAAATGCCCTACCGCTTTGCAGTATTTGCATTGCTCATTAGCGGGATCTCTCCGTCCGAATCCTTGGTTGGCCACTTCTGCCGGGACTACGACTTTCTGGGAGGCAGGGCGGGTCGGGATACTTGCGCCTGCATAACCATCAATGCGTTCTCCACCCTTTCAATCTTATTGTCGACTCCATGCACGCGTTCATGTAGACTTTCAATCCCCCTTTTTACCTTGTCGCTTGTCCTACTGGTCAGATCTATGACGTCCCCTTCCTTAAGCAAGGCTAATGTCTCGGTCACTGCTGTCTTCTCGGCCAAAATCGTTACCGTGCTAAAATCAACATCCCTGGTGTTTACAAACTTGCTCGTGTGCTGGTAAGCCGACAGGATCTTGTCCTTGTCGAACTCGGAGAACTGCCTGAGGAAGTATTTGCTCATTATCCGGTTCGTAACCCCGGGGATCCTTAGTGCTACCAGGGTAAATTCCCGGAGGAAGTCATTGTACGTTGCGAAGTTCTTCCTTTGAACCGCCGCTAAATCGGCCTCTGTTGCCATTTTCTCTGTCGCCAGATATTTTCTCATCATTACATCTCGGGTTTCCTTCCAGGATCGACTCGCGACTACGATCGCCATTATGTCTCGCTCTAGGCTCAACGACACATGCTACCCTAGGTGGTCCATCTTTTCTTCTTCGGTTCATTTTAACAACGCAGTCAGGTTTTCGTAATTTATTAGGAACTTTGTGATGTTTGCCCCGTCGAATGTCAACTTTTTCTTAGCGTCTGCTAGGTAGCCTTGGTTTTTGTTTAGCGCTCGCGCGAGGGACGATACTATCTTCCTGAGGCCGCCTTCAGAGCTACTGGCCTCGCCCGTCGTACTAGTATCCCGCCCTTCCTTGTCGGCCTTCTGTCCTTCCCTAGTCTTTGCAGTCCGTTCTGGGTCGAACCATCCCAACACCCTTTCCCTAAGGCTCCAGAGCCCTTCACATCCTCGCATTACTGTCGGCGTGGCCGGCAGGCGGCTAGCCCTGCTATCTATGGCTAGCGGATTCGTAGCTTTCTCTGTTTCCATCCCTGGGGAGTTCTCTCTCTTTTTCCTCCTCGTGCTCGGTGTCCCTCCACGGTCACTACCCTTATCCCCTTGCCCAATTCTGCCTCGGCCGACTTTCCGTTCGTCCCGTGATTCTTCCTGCAGGGGGCCCTCCTCGTTCCCAGTCATCATTTCCTTAATCAATCTTGCCTTGTACTTTGCGGTTCTTTTTTCTATTTCCGCTAGTTTGCGTTTTGCATCCATGACCCTCACTTTCTTAGACACAGCTCCTTCTGAATTCCGGGGTTTTGTTTATTGTTTTTATTTCTACCCTTCTTGGTCTCCTGGATCCCTTGCTTGCTTCCCCCGACTTTCCCCGAGCTTTCCCCTTAGGAGATTTCCTTCCGGTTCCCCTTGGTACCATTCGGATTTATCGATTCTCTGTCTTCTGCCCCTCTTCGCTTTGTACGGCACTACCTCCTAAGCCTGATCCTCCCTCGCTCCTACGAGTACCCGTATCATCTTCTGTCGCCATTTTGCTTAGTTCTGCATAAACCAGAGAATACCCCAGGATACAAGCAGCGCGAGGCATTTAGGTTCCATAGGTTCTGGTTTCGTCGGTTTATCTTATTCGGATAGCAACCTTCTCCCCATTTTTGTTTTCTGATTGCTCCCCTAATAAGAAGGAGCCGCGACCGGCCCTGCTGCCCTATTGAGCCAAGGAACGTGGCTTAGTTCCCCCTATGACAGACTCGTTTACAGCGCCCCAATTTTGTCGTGCCGGGCGCGTAGGAGTCCTGGTTGGGCATCCCGTTAGGAGAAGTTCCCGAGCAGTATTCCCTTCTCAACTTCTAGAGTCATGACAACCATTACGAGTCCACCCTTCCCCTTATCCCGTAGCGGTTTTTGATCGTCCGGGTCCGAAGGTCCTTCCCTATTTCCATTGGTGAGCCCCTGTATGTAGCGGAATATACTCGATTTGCCCTATTGGCTTGCCTCCGGGTGTTAGTCCCGCTCTCGTCCTCGGGGCCCTTTCGGTTTGGTAGGTTCCTCGAACAGTTGAGCCACCCCCGCTAGGTAACTCTCTCCTATCTCGATTTCCCTTCGAATTATATGCTCGTATTCCGCCCAGGCTAACCGTGGCAACCCAAATATCAAGATATTAACAACTTCCAGCAATTCATGGGCCTGGTTTCCCCAGAACGGCCCATGCTCCACAACAACGTCATAAAACATCCCGATAGTTTGATGGGGGAAGTGATTTACCCAGATTATTGTGCTTGCAAGGCTTCCGAAGCGAAGGTCTATCATGAATCGGGGGACCCGACATCTCAGCGGGGTTGTCGGTGCCCTGAACTCCCTCCAGCTCCCCATTTCCACCCTGATGAGTAAACCCACGTTCCTCCTACCCCTGATTGATTGGCCTATTCGTGTCAACGCTCGGGCGGCCATTCGAAAGACTGGGGCCAACTCGTGGCCTTGTGCTATTCCTGTCCCCAGCAAGTGCCAGCCGGTCTCGGGTAGATACAAGGCCCCGGTTACTTCTAGATTGGAAAACAAATCATCCCCAGGTCCTCAGTTGAATCTCATCCCCGTCCACCGACATTCCACCATCATGAAGGCACTGTCCCTTCCCAAGATCACGGCCTGCCATTCCACGTCGAATCCCCGAAAGTCGCAACTTGACGGAAGGGACACTTCCCATCCTCTGCCATTATTCCAGGTCGGGCCGGGGTACCGGGGTTGGCGTACTGTTCGTACATGTCATGCCGCCATTGTTGTTTTGGTGATTTCCTGCATAGCCCACTGAGAGGATTATGGCCAGCTCTTCAGCAACTGCCCATCCTCGTACTGTTTCCCTTCTTGTTCAAGTCCTTGTTCTTCTTTTCTGCCCCGCGATCCACACTAGCGTCCGTAGTGGCCGGACGTCTCGCTTGTTCTTATTCTCCTAGCGTGCCCTGCTAATCTACCGTTCACGCCCCCCTTAGTTTACATGTCCTTTCCACACTTTGATTTCCCCACGATGTCCGATTCCCTGGCCTTTCATTCGAACCACAGTACTTTGAACAACTTGAAAACAGCATCGACGTAGGATGGGGCGGCTGCCGCCTCCCGGCTAACTATAGCGTCCCAGGCTGCCGCGTCTACCTCTAGGCGGTCATACTTACCTATTCTCAGGATGGTGAGAATTTCCCAGGCTTTATCACCGTAGAAGGGCCCGTATTTCAACGAGGTGTTATAAAATTCCTCAGTCAACCAGACACATTCTATATGTGTTTCTTTCATGGAGTCGGCCACTTCTAAGATGTGATCGAAACCCCCAAACCATTCGGCCACGAACTCAGGCACCCAAGCCGTTGTTCGCAGGCCGGGAGGCTTGAGTTCCTTCCATCCCCCCATCACAACTCTACTACTGACTTCGTCCCATCCTTCGTTGGCAAACCTCTCGCCCTCCTTTCGGGTTCGGCCCTCCACATTCCCTAGAAGCCACATTGGATCATGTCCCGTCGCTATCATAGTGCAGAATAGGTGCCACCCGTTTTCGGAAAGAACGACCGTCCCGATTGATTGCACTTTGCCTTCCGCTATCTCATCCCAGCCTTTCTCTTCCCTTATTGGGTTCCAAATCCGCTCTATCCATACGTATGACAATCCCGGGGCAATTTCAAACCCGACCCAGCCGCAAGTGGTCCCTCTGCATTCGTTTTCTGCTGGTATAGGCATTTCTATTCCCCCTCTGAGTCGCCTTGGTTCCCATCCCTTGAAAATGCAGTCCATCGGCAATTCCTCTCTAGTCATCCTTTCCCTTCTTGCACAATGCCAGGCCACTCGGTCTCCCTAAGTAAGTCCCCACCTTAGAAGTCCCAGTCCTCTATCTCATCCCCTTCGTCCTCATCGTTGTAGAACAGTTCCTTAACACCTTCCTGGAACGTCTCTCCTACCGCCACATTTTTGTAGACTATCCCCCAATGCACGGAGCTAGGGACAAAGACATTGTCTATGCTAAAGCAGTTCAGCACCTCGGCCAGCTCCTCCGCCCAATTCCCTTCAAACGGC